CATCAAGTAAAATATTATATCAAGTAAAATTTTACTCGCGACAACGAACGTAAACTTTTCGTCACGAAGAATGTATATTCAGCACAAACAAAAGTTTCCGAATTTGAGATTTCAATGGTTAACTCTTCTCAAATCCTAAAAAGTGAGTTGTGACCAATTTAGATAATCATATACGTGATTTAAATATATTAATTTGTCGTAGACGTCTTATCGAACCTGGTGATTTATTAAGTCAATATGTTTTTACGATGACGCTTTTTTCATACCCACGCGTTTTAGTCTCCAAGTTTACCATTGGTACATGGTTCATGGAATATTAATGGAGAGTTATGAAATGTAGGTGAGTTATCCTGTAAGCCCTGATTAAACATGTAGGTATAATGAACTCACTAATTTGTTGCCATGGGTGTGCAAAAAATATAACCGTATGTTACATTCATGTAGTATCAAGTATGGAAACGTGTTCATTTTTAAAACAAAGTATATGAGCAATTGTTGAGTGGGATACGAATAAAGTAGAACTAATCGTAAGAATGAAGAAAGAATCATGGTTGGTTTAACCACTGTTACTCCGAATGTTAACCGACTCAGGAAAAAAAAATCTTGGAAACAGAAAAAACTGAATTCAACCGAACATTCTTGGTTGATGGAAAATATTTTTGGCGCACGTTATGCAGTTTCTAAAAAGAGCCCCGAAGCAATGAATATGTAACTTTTCGATCGGATGGTAGTAAACTACAACCGTTGTGAGACTTTGGAGTTGGGTACTTCCCGATGCAAACAAAAATTCGTCAAACCAAAATTCAAAAAGAAATGAAAAAAAAAAAAAAAAAAAAAAATCCCAGAATTTTACTCTAAACCCTGGTTAGTTATAATATAGGTACGCGATTAATCTAATCCTCGCAAACGTCGTATTTTAGCCTCCTGATTTGATGCCTAAAAAAGTCAATATCAATGGCCAAAACGCAAAACCACGTATCTCTTTTGCGCCATTCCACTCTTCCTGTCATACATCATTGTTCCTTTGGGTAACTAGTCATAGTCAGTATAATTTCTTTGAAAACTTCCTCAATTTCTCCTCTGTTAGCAGAATACGTTGTTTAAATTTTAAGCTATAAAGATGACTTGTTTCTCTTTAAAAAAATAAAATAGGAGCAGAAGTTTTGAAATACTGCGATGGTGGCACGTGGTCTCGCTTTTTGGCCATCGATATGCTTTTAAGACGCTTACTTTTATACCCACGCGTTTCAGTCTCCAAGTTGACTGTTTGTGCATGTTTCGTGGGAAATTAATGGAATGTTCTGAAGTTATTTTAAAAAGTTATCGAGTTTAGCAGTGTTCAAAAAAGTCAGTTGAATGACAGGTTAATTTGGTGTAATTTTTTAATGATACTTTCATATACACACGTCCAAGGGAAGAAGTCAAAAAGACTAAAAGTCAATATACACTTTAATAATGACGCTTACTTTTGTATCCATGCGTTCAAGTCTCCAAGCTGACTATTTGCACATTTTTCGTGGAAAATTAACGAAAGCTCTGAAAAAAATTTAGGCAATTTCAACAGTATTCAAAAAAGTCAGTTGAATGACAGGTTAATTTGGTGTGATTTTTTTATTGATACTTCTATACACGCGTCCGGAGGAAGATCACATTGAGTGGGAGGACTTTAAATTGATCGGATCCGGAACGCCGAAGGAACGAGCCGCTGATTAGGACCCTCTGATTGATCAGTTAGGGAGCACGAGAAGGAGAGGGGGCACCGGTTGGAAGCGGGAGTGAGCGAGAGAGAGCGAGAGAGAGGGGCCCGCCGGCGCCGCGGCGACAGTCGAATGCTCACATCACCTGTAACCAGTAAGTTATCAATAGTGTAACTGCGGTGTGGTGCAGCGCGGCGCTTCCAAGTGCGATGCGACTGGTGCATGTTTATTGAATATTGCTAGAGTCGTTTGAATTCTTAACCGGGTCAACCTGCCTCCGATACCCCCTCCCTCCAGCCTCCTCCGTGCCATCCCCTCCCCCCTCCCTCCGGGCACACTCTACTCCTACCCTTCTCACGGCGCTCGCTTCTCCGGCCGCGGCGAGGGGGTTGAAATCGTGATCTTTTCATAATTGCTACACACCTTGATTTGTCGTCCTCCGTGTCGTGATCATTCCGTTCTTGTTTACTTTCGACCACGCCGGCCGGGCGGAAGCCGTTCTTCTTTCCCTCCGACAACGGGACCGGATTTTGTGGGATCAGCATCCACGTGTCGCCAGATCCTTTACAAGTGCCTTTATCATCGCTTACCATCTTCATTTTTTTTACACGTGCTTTTGAGGAAAACATTTATCGTGCGGTTCTGATGTTCGATGTTCTGTTTATCGCAAATGGTGTTATTTTCGGTTTTCGGTTGTGAAATCACTGATGATTACTGTGCGGTGTGATTCGAAAGATTTTACGAAATTCGACCATCCAGGGATAGAATCCAGGACACTTAAGTGACATCTTCTACCAGCTAACTCCGTTTTTGTGGATTTCCGCTCGATGCAGTGACCATACGTCCCTAGAATCAATATTTTTGTTTGGATTCCACAATTTCTCCTACGAGGTATGTAGACTTATTTTCATGGTATTATGTGGTGTTCGTGATCTCTAATCAAC